GCAGCAGGGGCGGGGGGCGGGCGGGGAGGCGGGGGCTGCGCTCGCGACGCAGCCGGCAAGGGGCAGGGGACCGCTGCAGCAGCAGCAGCAGAAACTGCTGCTGCAGCAGCAGCAGCAGCAGCAGCTCGGCGGGCAGCAGCTTCTGCAGCCGCAGCAAACGCTCCTGCAGCAGCAGCAGCAGCAGCACCTGCTGCTGCACCTGCAGCAGAAGCAAACCAAAGTGCTCAGCACCAACGCCAGCGGCCTCTGCGGAAACGCCGAACCAACCGAAACTGCTGCTGCTGCTGCAGCAACTGCAGCAGCAACTGCAGCAGCAACTGCAGCAGCAGCAGATGCTGCAGCCGCAGCAGCAGCAGCGCCAGCGGGAGGACCAGCGCCCAAGCAACTGCCACAAGCAGCAGCAAACGCAGGGCCTGCTGCTTCCAGCGCCTGCTGTCTGCTGCAGCAGCAACAAAAGACGCAGCAGCAGAAGCAGCAAGAGGGAAACCACCACGCTCGGCCAGCAGCAGCAGCAGCAGCAGCAGCAGCAGCAGCAGCAGCAGGCGCTGCTCTTGTAGAGTCGAGTAAAATCTCCATGCAATAGTCTCGCCATTAGAGAGGAAATCGCAGCGCAGCAAAAGCAGCAACCGCAGCAGCAGCAGCAGCAGCAGCAGTAGCAAGCTGCTGCAGGACTGAGGCGAGTTGCTGCCGCATTAGCAGCAGCAGCAGCAGCAGCAGCAGCAACAGCAGCCGCAGCAGCAATAGCCTTAATCTAGGGAGTAGCGTATTCGCAGTAGCAACAGGTCCTGCGGCGACAGGTGCAGCAGCAGCAGCTTCTGCTGCTGCTGCTGCTGCTGCTGCTGCAGTAGCTTCAGGGTTCGCTGCGGCAGTGGTAGCCTCAGCTGCAGCAGCTGCTGCAGCAGCAGCAGCAGCAGCGGCAGAAGCAAAATTAGCGTAGCAGCACCAGCGGCAGCGTTGCAGCAGCAGCAGCAATTGCTGCTGCTGCTGCTCTTTCAGAGGGTTCCTCTCTGTCATTTTTTTCTTTTAAATTCTACACAGGAGCTGAGAGGGACCCTAAACCCTAAACCCTAAAATAGGGTTTAGCGTTTCATTGTTCTTCCGCCTTAAGATTTGTCTTGTTTTTTTCTTTGGGGTTGCTGCTGCTGCTGTTGCTGCTGCTCTTGCTGCTGCTGCTGTTCTTGCTGCTAGTGGCGTTACAGTTGCTGCTGCAGCTGCTGCTGCAGCCAGCAGCAGTGTTGCTGTTGTTGCAGCTATGGACTAGTGTTGCTGCAGGCGCTGCAGCAGCAGCTGCAGCAGCAGCAGCTAGGCACTTTACTGCTGCTGCAGCTGAGCAGCAAACCTAGGTGTTGCTGCTGCTGTTGCTGCTGCTGTTGCTGTTGCTGTTGCTGTTGCTGTTGCTGCTGCTGCAGCTGACGCCTACTCTGGCCAATAACTTAAAAATTGCAGACAAAATATGGATTGTCAAATAAACTCCCGCTGCAGCAGCAGTTGCTAGTGCTGCAGTTGTTGCTGCGGTTGCTGGTACTATTGCTGTTGGGGTTGCTGCTACTCTTGCTGCAGCAGCAGCAGCAGCAGCAGCAGCAGCAGCTGCTGCTGCTGCTGCTGCTGCTGCTGCTTGGCTAGGTTTTGTCTCTAGGGCTGCCCAGGGTTCTGCCTTCTCCCCTGAAAGGCACAAAAGTGCATTCGGGCCCCACAACGATGGTTTGCTGCTGCTGCTGCTGCAGCTGCTGCTGCAGCAGCATCTGCTGCTGCTGCTGCAGCAGCAGCGGCGTGTCTTCTGCTGCAGCAGCAAAAGACTGAAACACCAAATCCCCTTCTTGCAAAAACGAAGGCAGCCGAGACTTGTAGATCCTCCAGGCCACCCACGCCGTCAGCAGGCTGCGACGCAAACCCTAAACCCTAAACCCTAAACCCTAAACCCTAAACCCTAAACCCTAAACCCTAGAGTGCAGCGGGCAAACTGCAGTGTCGGTGAACAGAAGACTCCTTGGGGTGAAGCTCGGGCCCCAGCGTTTAGGGTTTAGGGAGTAGGGTTTTGGCCAGGGTTTAGGGTTCGCAACGAGGGTTTCGAGGGTTTAGGGTTTAGGGTTTAGGGTTTAGGGTTTAGGGTTTAGGGTTTAGGGTTTACCAAATCACAGGACTGCAGCAAAAGCTAATGAGCTCAATATAAATTTGAAACAAAGCTGGGGGCCTCTCAGGGGGCATCAGCGCCTCATGGCCTGGGGGCCCCCCCAGGGGCCCCCCCGGGGGCCCCCGGGGCGTAGGGCCTCCAATAGAATTTGGGGTCGAGCCAAGAAAGGCCATAAGGGCCTGTGCATTTAATAAGAAGCCAAAAGGCATCAGAAATGCCTAAGATGAGGGAGAAGAAGGCAAGAAAGAAGAGGCGGACGAGGGAAGTGTGCTGCTGCTGCTGCTGCTGCTGCTGCTGCTGCTGCTGCTGCTGGCCCCAGCCCAGCAGCAGCAGGAACAAGTTGCCCGCAGCCAGCAGCGGCCGCGGCGACAGCAGCCGCAGCAGCGCCAGCAGCAGCTGCAGCAGCAGACACGCGCGGTAGCAGAGGCTCAGGCTGCAGCAGCGGCAGCTGCGCCGCCGCCGCCCCGCTGCTGCTGCTGCTGCTGCTGCTGCTGCGGGACCCGCTGCTGCTGCTGCTGCTGCAGGCAGCCCGCCTGCTGCTGGCGGAGAAGGGGGCTCCGGAGACGCAGGGGAAGGCGGCGAAGCTGCTGCTGCAGCAGCGGAGGGATATTCCATCTTCATGCTGCTGCGGCAGCAGCAGCAGCAGCTGCTGCTGCTGCTGCAGACCGGCCACCCGCAGCAGCTGCAGCAGCTGCAGTGCCGCCACAGAGGCCCTGCGGACGCTTCTTGTGGCGGCCGAAACTGCTGCTGCTGCTGCCGCTTCGGCGCTGCGCGCGCTGCTGCTGCTGCTGCTGCTGCTGCTGCTGCTGCTGCTGCGCCCTTCGCTCCGCTGCTGCTATTTAGGTTTCTTCCACTCTCTTTTCCCCAACTTATTTGTTTTTATTTATTTTTAAACGAAGTACACTCAAAAAGGAACGGGAAACGCGCAAAGACAGCAGCAGCAGCAGCGGCGGGTCCGCTGGTCATCTGCTGCAGCGCGGGTTTCGGCGATTGGCGATTTCTGTCGAATTTGGACTAAAAATGCCAAAAAAGAATTCAAATAAATCCAAAAAGTCAAATAATAATTCAAAATAAACTTATTTGCAACTCCAGACCATTTTTTTGCGCAATTTCACGCAGAAGACGCGCTAAACAAACCACTGCGCAACAGCCGCCGACGCCGCCTTCCTGCTGCTGCTGCTGCTGCTGCTGCTGCTGCTGCTGCTGCTGCTGCTGCTGCTGGGGCTCTGCAGCAACTGCAGCAGCTCTGGCAGCTACTCAGGAAGCGCTTCGGCGTTTTTGAAGTGAAATTTTCAAAACTCAGGAAGCGCTTCGGCGTTTTTGAAGTGAAATTTTCAAACTCAAACAAAAAACTCCCCCCAAGCCAAACCCTAAACCCTAAACCCTAAACCCTAAACCCTAAACCCTCGTGCGCCCTTTGCCGCAGCCCGGTGCCCACTGCCGACTGCTGTCTTTCCCCGCCACCCAAACCCTAAACCCTAACCTCTAAACCCTAAACCCTAAACCCTAAACCCTACTTCCGCTTCAAAGGAACCTGCTGAGGAGAAGACTGCAGCAGAGCAGCAGCAACGGCTCCCCACACAATGCGCCGCGCTAGGGTTTAGGCTAGGGTTTAGGGTTTAGGGTTTTGCTGCAGATTTGCAGAGCTAAAACAAATCAGGGCGTTGCGAGTGCTCCCAAACCCTAGCCCTAAACCCTAAACCCTAAACCCTCAAGGGTTTAGGCAGCCCTCAGGGGCGTAGGGTTTAGCTTTCAGGTTGCAGGCAACAAACACCAGAAGCTGCTGCAGCTGCTGCTGCAGCTGCTGCTGCAGCTGCTGCTGCAGCTGCTGCTGCAGCTGCTGCAGCAGCAGCAGCTGCTGCTGCTGAGAACCGCAAAACAAATCTCCCCTAGGGTTTGGGACTTTCGCTAGGGTTTAGGGTTTGTAAAGGATGAGCCGGTGCCGCGGGGCCTCTGCAGGGCCCACGGCCTCTAGGGTTTAGGGTTTAGGGTTTAGGGTTTAGGGTTTAGGCTGCTGTCTGCTCGCAGCCTAAGGGCATCAAAGGCAGCTAAGCTGAATTCCACGGAGGCCCGCGAAAGCCAAAACCGACAGAAAAACCCTAACAACACAAACCCCAAACCCTAAACCCTAAACCCTAAACCCTAAACCCTAAACCCTAAACCCTAGCCCTCCAGCCCACAGCACTTATCTGTAGGCGCGAAGCGCCAAAGGAGAAGCAGACACAAAAACTCTGACAAACTCTCAACCCCTAAACCCTAAACCCCAAACCCTAAGCCCTAAACCCTAAACCCTAAACCCTAAACCCTAAACCCTAAACCCTAAACCCTAAACCCTCGAGGAGTGGATGCTTCGCTTACCTGCCAGCTGCAGCACATGGCCTC